GGGGTCTCACTGTGAATGCAGGCAGCAGGGGCTGAGTGAACTTGGCCTTGAAGGTGTGCAGCAGCTGTTTGGTACGGGCGTTGTAGAAGGACAGGAGTCCTGGGGCACAGGGCAGAGCGGCAGGGGGACCGGTCAGAAGTGGGGAGGAGTGTGGGGCAGAGGGATGGGGGGGAGAGGGCTGGAGGGTCTGGGGCAGTCGGGGTCACCTTGGTGAAAGTCGCAGTGCACGCCCAGGCAGTCGGGCACGGGGGCGTCCAGCGCCTTGACCTTGTTGGCGTGCTTGGCCGTGAAGCTGACCTGCAGCCAGTTGTTGGCGTGCAGGCACCAAGACGCTGCCGTCTTGCCCAGCTGCTCGAAGCGGCCCAGGCTGCGGTAGGCTACCCCCACTCCGAAGGCCTTGCTGTCTGGCTCGTAGCGCACCTCCCAGTAGTGCTCCCCACCATCGATCAGTGTGTCCCCTGGGGGGCGGCAGGGTGGGCAGTGGGGACTGGGTAGAACCGCAAAAGGACCTTCCACCAAGGGGCAGACACCCAGCTACTCCCCAGACTGCAGCTGCTCCTTCCAGATTCTCCCCAGGCCCCAGCTATTCCTTCTAGGTATTCCAGACTGCCTCAATTCCCGCTAGATACTCTCTAAGCCTCAGATGCTCCTTTCAGATTCTCTACAAGCTCAAGCTACTCCTTCCAGATACTTCCAGGCCTTAGAAATGTCCTTCAGTTTCTCCCCATGTTCAGATATTGCTCAGCCTTCAGTTCTTCCCAGAGACCAGATAATTCCCTAACTCCTGCTCCTTGCTGACTCTGAGTATTCCCACAGGCTTCAAGTCCTACTTCATTCAAGATACTCCCCAACTCCCAGATACTCCCCAGATCACAGTGGCTCCTTCCAGTCATTCTCAGAATCCAGACTGTACCGAAATCCTAACTCCTGGTGTAGGCCAGATTCTCTCATGTCTCGGCAACTTCTGAGACCAGGGGTTCCCCTAGGTACTCCCCAAGTCAAAGATACTCTCCAGACCTCAGCTCTTCCTGGAATCCAAATACTCCTCAGGCCTCAGTTACTCTCTCCAGCTACCCTCTGGATTCTGATACTCCTCAGATTTCAGCTCCACTCAGAGTCCAAAGACTCTCTGTATCTCAGCAAATCCCTGAGTCCGCATGTTCCCCAGACCCCAGAGCCAGTTTCATACCACCCCGGCTACTCCCCAGTCCTGCTATTCCTGATGTTCAGCTCCTTCCCACACTGCCCCACCCAGACCACAACTCATCTCCATATATCTCAGCTCCTCCCAGACACAAGATTACCACCCCCCATATGCATTTCTTCTTCAAGCCCTGCTCTTCTCTGATCTCAGCTACTCCCTCAATCACAAATTGCCTGTGCTCTTTGCTAACAATTAGCTACTTCCCTCTAAAATCTCTGCCACTCTGTAGACACCCCCCATACTGTCCCCTGCCTCTTCCCCAAACTCCAATTCCCACCAATCCCAGACACCTCCCAGAAAATCCAATCCTCCATAGGACCTTAATTTCCTCTCAGGCCCTAGCTTATACCCAGGCCCCAGCTATGCCCCAACTTCCTCCCCCTAGATACGCCACGGACCACACCAACCTCCTTATGCCTCAGTCTCTTTCTCTAGCCCTTTTCTGGACAGTCGCAATTTCCCTAAACCCCAGTTTCTCCACTGGCTCCAGCTTCTCCTTCATAGGATCCAGTTGCTCCTGTGGTGCTAACTCCTCTAATTCTAGCCATTCTCCCAGCTTCTCCTCAGATACCAGCTACTCTCAGTGGCTCATCCACACACCCTAAGTCAATTCCCCAGGCTTCTCACTTGCTTCAGCTTCTCTATAGACCCAGCTACTCCATAGGCAACTGCTTTCCAGCTCCTCCCCAAATCCCAGCTACTCCACAGGCCCCAAGAAATCCCCAGTCTAGTCCAGAGCCACTTTCCTTAGCTCCATAGGCTCTGGCTTGCCCCAATAATCCCTCATCCCCACAATTTCCCATTCCCCCAGCACCAGAGCAACACAGAGCAGCTTTGTGGAGCCTAGGTTTCCCCAGCCAAAGGAGTTCTCCCTTACGCCCCACCCATCACCCAGACCTTCCCTCTTGCCTTCTCCCATCCCCCTCCTTACCCAGCACCGTATAGGACTCAGCTGTGAAGCGGTCCCGTCCCCCACGACCTGAGGGCATCCTCTTGGGTGATGGAGTACCTCTGTGGGTGGGAGGAAGCGGGGAATCTCAACTCAGCCCTCACCTCACCCACAGGAGGGCTTCCCTGGTCCATCCCAGCCACTGTGGATTTTTAGTCAGTCCCTAAAAGTATTTGGCTCTTTTCATACACTGGATCCCTAATGTCAGAACATGCCTGTGCCCTTGGCCACTTGGAAAACTCCTATTCAACCATCAAAACCCAGTTCAAAGTGTCCTCTCCCCTCATTCACTCACTGGGCTCCCTCCACCCCAGCCCTGATCACACTGGGCTGAGTGTGTCCATGTCCAACTTGATCTCCTCCACCAGAAATTCAGGGAGGGAGGGGGACAGGCTACCTGGCCGGGGAGTTGACGGGAGACGCCGTCCGCCCCTTGCCGTCTTTCTCTCGAGCCTTGATATCCTGCACCTTCCCGCCCATGGCGTCCCACTCCACGGAGAGTTCATCCACCCGTAGGTTCTGGTGGGATGTGGACGCATCCAGGCGGAACATGAACGCTGGGGCCGGGCGGACACGGGAGTCACAGAGATGGGGGAAAACCCAGAGAGACACAGAGAGACAGAGAGACAGACAGTGACCAAGACAGACCAAGACAGGGACGAGGGACAGGAAGAGACAAAGAGACGGACTGAGAGACAGACAAGACAGACAGACCAAGGCTGAGAGAGAGAGACAGAAAGAAAGACAGATGGGGGGCGGGGGGTGCCGGGGGTAGAACATGGAGCCAGAGGGTAGGTGCCTAAAGGTCTGCCAGGTCTGGAAGTATTTTCAAACCAGTTGTGCTGCCCTGAGTCTCCATGGATGATTAATCCCAGGAGTGGGGCTGGACTACAGCATGAAGGCGTTAGGCTAGACTTCGGCAGGACTTCGTAGCAGGGCATGCAAAAGAGTCACTGTGGAAGACTGTGGAATCTGTCTTCACTACTGGTATCCCATCCCACCCCCAACTCTGTAGGGGACTTTTTTTTTTTGG